GGGCATAGGGTCACTGGGAGGGGTCTCAGGGTGCGGGCCCAGCTGGCGGTGCTGTGACAGGGCCTCTGGGACAGGCCCAGGCGGCAGACCTGGCACCAAATGGCTGGAGACTCTAGGGGAGCAGGATCACTTCTGCGCCCCCCCCACCTGCCTGGAGTAGTGAGCCGCGCATCCCTGGGGGTCACTGGTGGGCATGGGAGGAGGAGCCCCATGGGAAACCTGTGGAGGAGTCACCTGAAGCAGAGGCCAGGGGCACGGCCTCGCCTGCTCGAGGTTCTTACTGCATTTTCTATCCTGGGGCCCTTCGGAGGCAGCTGTCCTTGGGAACAGAATCCTACCTCCCTGGGCCTGGTTTCCCCTGCTGAGCCGCCCAGCGTGGTGGCTATGACAACGCGCTCTGGGGACCCTGACTGCCTTAGTCCAAATCCCAGTTTCCCTGCTTATGCTTTCTGAATGCATGATCCGGGCAGGAAAGTTTACTCTCCCAGCCTCCGTGAGCTCGTCAGCAGGCTGCAGATAACAGCCCCCACTTCACGGGGCCTCGTGATGCGTAGACGAGAGTGCTTGCAACATGCTTAGCTCAGGGGCTGCCCCCCCCCCCCCCCCCGTGAGCCCTGGAGGCCTGTTGGCTACTACCACGGTATTTTTAGCTGGGAAGGGGTCGGAGGACACGTGTGTGCCCGGAGGCAAGGGGCTAGCCCCCTGAGCCCCTGGCTCCCGCCTCCCTGCCTGCTGTCCCCCTCACTCTCTCCAGCACTGAGTGATCGACAGGCCGGGCCAGTGGCGGCCTGGCAGGCCTGTCCTGGCAGCTGCTCCCACAAGGCGAGGCCCTCTGAGCTTCGGAGAATTAATTAGGCCACATTCCTCTTCCAGGGCTCCTGGGGCGGGCCTGCACACGGCCCCCTTCCGAGCTGCTGAGGGCTCTTGGCTCAGGTCCCTGGCAGGCCGAGGCGAGGCCCATCCTCTGCTCTCCCCTGAGAGGGGCTGGGAGGGCCCCGGTGAGCGGCATCAGTGGCTAGGGAGGGGACAACGACAAGCCAGCAGCCCCAGGCCCGCTCCTGCCCTGGCTTTCCCCTGCTTAGCCCCCTTCTCTGGTTCCCATCACTCAAACTCAGATTCCTGGCCTTGGATGCCATTCCCCGCCTGGCCCCTGCTGCGCAGGCTGGCTGCCTCTCTCCAGATTCTTCCAAGCTCTGGTCAGACGTACCTCACATCGCCCCCCTAGCGGCGATGCCCTTTCCCTCACTCCAGCTTGTGCAAATCCTAGCCTTTCTCCAAACTCTCCCGACCACCGCACCAGCTGGAAGGGCAATCTGGAACATGTCCCACCTCCTGTCGCTTCACTTTGCCTTGACTGTCTTCCCTGCCAGCCTGGGAGACCCTTGAGTGGAGCGAGTGTGGGTTGATTCAAAGGCATGAAGCGCGAGTGGAGAGCCTTTCAGGCCCGGAAATATACTCCTGGGAGACACTGTCCGAGGCCGTGACGGGGGAGTCACAGCTGCTGCAGCCCTGCGTGGAGCCCCTTCTCCCACGCCAGGTGCTCCGGCTTGACCTGGGGCTCAGGAGGGCCCTGCCCATTGCTGTCTCCCCGTCTCCAGCCTTCCCCGGGCTCCCTTCTTCTCTGGCTCCCTGAAAGGGGCTGAGAATAGCTCCCTTCCCCACTGGGCCTATACCTCTGCTGGCTCATCTGCCTAGAACACTTTTTTTTTTTAAGATTTTATTTATTTATTTATGAGACACAGAGACAGAGAGAGAGAGAGGCAGAGACACAGGCAGAGGGAGACGCAGCCTTCGTGCAGGGAGTCCAACGTGGGACTCGATCCCGGGTCTCCAGGATCAGGCCTGGGCCGAAGGCGTTGAGCCACCCAGGCTGCCCTGCCTGGAACACTCTTGTCTACTCTCCTCCTTCACTTGATTGATTCCCTTGAGCTTGGCCTAGCTGTCACCTCTTTCGGGAAGCCACCCCGGGCTCCCCCACCCCGTGGACTCCATCACCGAGCTGATGTCCTATCAGAGAGGCAGGTCTTAATCCCGGCTCGGCCACACACACTAGCTGTGTGACTTTGAGCGAGTGACTCAACCTCACAGTTACCTCTTCTACTGCAATGGGAACACTAATGCTAGAACCTGCTGCAGGGGCTGCTTTGCTGAATCATGTGCAAAGAGCGCTTAATGCATGCTCTGTAAGTGCTAGCTGATTATTATTATTATTATTATTATTATCTTAATATTTAGCAGGGTTTTTCTGGAGGGTGAGAACCTTGGCCTGTGAGGCCAGGAGCTGTGTCTGTCTTGCTCACTAGAGTCTCCTGAGAGGTGATTATTCATAAGCAGATGACTCTTCTGACCTGTGCGGGGAGGGCAGCCCGAGGACCCGCCGGGCCTGGCTGTGTAGTCCTGGATGGGGGACCACGCTCCCATCCGTCTGCCTTGGCTTCCATCTGTACATGCAACCTGAGCAAATCTGGGTCATCCTGTGCCCCCTTCTGGCCTAACCCTGCCTGGTCTTCCAGCCCAAAGGAACATAAATTTGACTCAAAGCCTTGACAAAACCAGTTAAGTATTTATGGCAAAGGCAGAAAGAGGCAGGAAAAGGGGAGATTTCTGTCCTACGAACTCCAGACAAGCTTCCTAAAGGGCTGACATCTTGGCTTCCTGGGGTTTGCTTTGACTTGGCAGCTGCTCCCCTCAGATCTTCCCCTGCTCCTTCCCTACGTGGTCCCCCTTCTGGCCTATTTCTGGGGCCCCAGCTAGCTGCGGTGTGGTCCAGTAGCAGGCGCAGACTTGGGGCACACGCGACCCCTCGGCCTTGCAAACTTCTCATCCTATGGAGACAGAGGTGACCCAGGAAGGCCAGAGGGGCCCCCCTAAAGGGCAGGGTCCAAGCCGGAGGTCCCTGTTTCCCGGGAATAAGGATCCAAGAGACTGCACCGTCACCCTCCTGGGCCTCCTCCCCTCCCTTTAATCATCTCCATGACTTAATTGTTTAGGTCTCTGATCTCTGAACTCTGGCCAGGGCCACAGGGGCCTGTGCCAAGGGCACTGAATGCCTGCTTCCCTGGGCCTCTGACACACCCTCAGCCAGGATCTCGTCCTCCCTCCGCCAGGCCTCCATCACACCTGCTATCCTGGGGTTGCCCTACTCAGCTGCCCACCCCACTGGCCACTGGTTATTGATTTGGGGCGTCCCAGGGGGCAGGGCCGTCTTGCATGCAATGCTGGGCTGCCAGGGAGTGAGACTCCCCTGGCATCAGGCTCTGCTGAGATTTGAGAGGTGGGCCCCACCCCTGGGCCCCCTAACCCCAGCCCTCACCCCCCAGGATGCACTGTGGCCTGCTGAGGGCCGAGGGTGAGCTTGCTTCCCTGTTTACTCTTGCTTCTGGTGGCATAGTTCCAAAGCCCAGCTCTGACCAGGTCCCCTGCGACTCACAGACCCTCTGCGGCCCGTGAGAGAAGGCCCAGCCTCCTGGCCTTGGCCTCGAGGTCTCTCTGGCATCATCTGCTGTGTTTCCCTTCCCATGCTCCAGCTGCACAGGGTCCTCCCTGGGGCGTCCTTTGTCACTCCCGCTGCCACGCCTTCACCCTCCCTCTTCCCTCTGCCTGGAATTCCCTCTCAAATTTCTTCCTAACTCATCTTTGGAGGCTACGGGAGCAGCCCCTTTTGTCCAGAGTCTTTTTCTGACCTTTCCTCTTTACCCCGGCTGCCCTGCCGCAGGTCCAGCGATGGGGCCGTTCTGCTCATCACAGGATCCCTCTTGGTGGCCTGACGAGCAGCCTCTGCCTCTTATCAGGCCCAGGGCCGAGCCCAGCAGTCTGTTGCGAGTTCATACCTGCCCTACAAGCTGGAGACTATTGTTTCCCATTGTGTAGATTAAAAGAAACTGAGGCCCAGAAAGAGAAAGACATGAATCCAGGTCATGTGGCAGTGGTGATCCATGCATTCAGTCCATAATATTTATTAAATACATCCATATATACATACATATCTACTCTAGACTCTGGGTTCAAATCCTGATGCCACCACTTACTGTGTGGCCTTGGGCGAGTAAATTGCCTTCCCTGTGCACTTAATTTCCTCATCTATAAAACAGAGGTAATAAAACTCCCTCTGTCACAGGGTGGCTGATTGAGGTGGAGAAAATGAGTTGACATCGCTGAAGTGCCAGTAGACAGCAGGGTTTCCCCATGTGTGGCATGACATTCTTCGGTGAGGGGGTCAGGGCTGGCTTCATGGACAAGGCAGGATTAGAGCAGTGTGTAAATAATTATTTTTCAATGCCAGCTCAGGCCGCCTGCCACTCCCAGCACAGGGAGGCCAGGGGCAAAGGGGACAGCTTGTCGCGGGAGGATTTGGCAGAAATGGAGGCTGTGGGTGCAGGCAGCTGCCGACAGGGGTGACTGCGACTTGCCGGCTATCCCTGGAACTCAGGGGGTCTGCTTCTTGGGCCTTGGCAGGATTGGGCGACCCAGTCCCGGAGCCCTGGGCTTCTTCGGCCAAAGCTTACTTCTGGTTCATTCGCAAGGTCCAGGGCAAGGGACGAGCCGGGGCCAGGTGGCAGCTCCACAAAGCACCCGTCACTGGCCCCTAGGGCTGCACACAGTTGTGGGATCCATCTGGCCCCAGCCCTCACTGGACAGATGGACTGTGGGCCTCACGGACAGTTCCCGGGCTGCTGGCGTAGAAGCAGGTCTTGACTCCTTCCAGACATGCTCTTGGGAAGGCCTGGCCATAGGTGACTGGCCTGATGGGGACACAGGTCCTGGAATCCCGGGTGTCAAAGCTGCAAATGGCTGTCCAGGTACACGACAGGCAAAAGCCTAGAGAGGCTGGGTCAGCAGCTAGAGGTGCCCAGCAGGGGCCCAGGGGTGGGACACAGGGCTCCGGCCACCTGCCCCGGACCCTTGCTCTCTCCTTCCTGTGTCCCCCTAACTTCCAAGCAGCCCCGCTCCTGAGAGGTGTCTCCTCCCTCTGCTTCAGCCAAGACACCATACCAGCAGCGCACCATTTCACTGTTTATTACAAACACAAGTTTGCAGGTAAATAACTGAGTCTAAAAAAAATACATTAAAATAAATAACTGGGATTCTCAAAGTTCTTAGAGCAAATAAGTTATATACAGACAGAGCAGGCCCTTCTCACCCGGAGTGTCCCCAGGGCAGGAGGGTAGGAGGACTCTGGGGAGGGGACAGACGGGGGCCACCCGGGACCCCAGGGCCGTCCGGGCCCCAGGGCCGGCTTCGGTCTGCGTGTCCACCACTGCTCGTCGATCCTGGTTTGTAGCCAACAGACAGGAAACCTCTCCGGATGTGGCCTCCAGGTGAGCACACTCCTCATGCGGTTCCTTCCAGCGGGGCGGTGGGGCTGGGGCCGGCCGGGGAGCCCATTCTGCAGCCTGGGGGCTGAAGGTTTTCCTGGGCAGCATGAGGTCGCCCTGCAGGGAGGCCAGAGCTTGTGCCACCCCGGCGGGCAGGGTTCCTGGCCCGGGGCTGCTCCTCTGCTCGCGGCTCCACACAGGTTCCTTGCCAGCGGTCCCTGGCAACCGGCGCTATCTCTTCCTCCACCTTGGGTGTGTGGGCCTCAGCTGCCTCCCTGCCTCCTGGGGTCGCCTAGGAAAGCGGATCTTGGCGGCAGAAATGTTCCTGGAATCCAGAAGGGTCAATTCAGCATCCCGGGAGAGGCAGGCTGCCCAAGAGCTCCCTAGGAGAGGCCGAGCTATAGGACCTGGCCTCCTTGACCATAGCCACCCTGGGCCCAGGGGGCAGCTGCAGCTGATCCCACAAACACAGTCTGCACTGCATGGATGGGCCTCACCAGGCCCAGAAGCTTCTCTGCCCACAGGGACTTTGGAGAAGCTGATGCTTGACATCGAATGCTGCCGGAATGACCAGAGTGTCTCCCGTGACCTGCCTTCCCACCTCCACACCTTTGCTCCTGCCGTTCCTTCTAGGCTCTTTACCTCCCCTCACCCAAATTCCATTGACTAAAATTCCCATTCTTCACAGTCCAGCTCCAGGTGGCTCAGCCCAGACGAATATGGGGTCCCAGTTGCTCTCTGAACTGGGATGAGACCCTGGCGGGGACTCCAGCATCACCCAAGTGGCCTCGTCCTGGCTCCAAGTGCTCTAGCCTGGAGCTAGGAGGCTGGCTTCTGTTCCTAGCCATGGGACCCGAGGCAAGTGTGGGAATCTCTCTGAGCCCCTTTCTTAGTCTGCAAAATAAACGCAGGCCTAGCTGGCGTGACGATGAGGACAAGTCAGCAGAGCAAGCTCTTCGCCCATCATGAGGTGCCATATACTTAAAAGTCTTAATCTTGACTTTTTCTCATCCTCAGATAGTTCCTAAGTATATACTGGGTCTTCCCTAGCCCCACCATCCTGCCCTGTCTCCTGTGTTTCAGTCTCTCCCCAGACAGGGGAGTCCCTGGGGGCTGCAGCTGGTTTGTAGCCAACAGACAGGAAACCTCTCAGGAGGTCAGCTCTGAGGAGCCTCGGGGAGGGAGGTCTGAATGGTTAACACCTCCAGACTTCCCACAGGGTGCCAGGCCGTGCTTGAGGCGCTCCACATGCATCAGCTCATCCAACCTCACGACCCTCCCAGAGATGGACTGCGCTGATGGGCCTGGTTCAAATTGGACCCCGAAGCACAGAGAAGTTAAGTGACAAGTCCGAGGTCACAAAGGCTTGTTTGTGGCAGATCTGGGGTTCACACAGGACAGCCCTGGCTTAGAAGCTGCCCCTTTAGCCACTTGGCTGCACAACCATGATGTGGGCTCTCTAATCTCAAGCCAGTTTGGTTGGACAAACGTTCATGGGCATGTCCTGTATGCCAAGCCTCGAGCTGAGTCATGCTGAGGCTGCCGGGAAGGGGATCCTATCTGGGCCAGGGAGGAGGGGACAGGATAGACAGCTGACCCCTCTGGACCTAGCACGTAGGAGATGCTCACAACCGACGGCCTTCCACAGTCACAATCCCAATCTCTGGAGCCAGCCGGATGCCTGCCACCGACAGCTGTGATCTCGGGCAAGTGCCTTTACCTCTCTGAGCCTCAGTCCCTGTGGCTGCCCAGTAAGGACCCAGTCCGGCCTCGTATAGAGACTGAGGGCAATGTGCAAGGCATACAGCAGGTGCTCAGTCAGTGCAAGCACCGCTTACCGCAGCTGCCGGAGGAGCTCTCCTGCGGATTTCCACGTCTTGCCAGCCTGGAACACGTCTGCGGGGGACCTGCTGCCTGGGACAACCACAGCTTCGGCCCTGAATGAACAGTATTAGGACCCAAGTGAGGGGCTGCCCAGGGCGCTGAGAACACCTGGCTGTGGGCCCAGTGCCCCCTCCTGCCCCAAGCAGATCCATTTCCACCCCTGTGCACCTGGCATCCTTCCTTTCCCAGGCGGGGTGGGAGCTGAGGAAAACTGAGCTGCCGGGAATGCGTTCTTAGCCTCAGTAAGACGCAGCTGGGTGCCCGGCCTTCCCAGAATCCAGCCACCTGCAGCTGAGCATGGCCCTTTGCAGGGGAAACTGAGGCAGGGGTAAAGCCACCGCCTGAGTCTCAGAGGAGGAGTTTCGCATAAACCATCACCACGGGAATGGCAGGTTTGGGACTGGCAGGCCAGTTTCTGCTTTCCCCGAATGCTCCGAGTGGCCAAGCGAAGGAACAAAGTCTCCCACCTGCTCCTTTTACAGATGGGAAACTGAGACCCAGAGAGTTAAGATATTTGGCCGAACTCCCCCCCACACACACACCCTCCCACCCCCAACAGCTCTGTGACAACCTTGGGATAGTGCCACAGCCTCCTAACCCCAGATGTTACTTCTCCACCAGAAAGCTCCGAAGCCCTGCGTGTCATGGTCAGAAGCCACAGCCCAGTGCGCTTGGTCAGACCCAGGCTGAAGGCCCAGCTCTCCCTCTGACCTGCTGGGCGGCCCCACAGGACAAGTCCTATCCCCTCTCTGGGCCTTGGCTACTTCAGCTGTCACCTGGGGAGACTCCCTCCTTCCCAGGAGTGAGGGTGGCATGTTCTCAGAAGCCCCCAGAGCTGGAAAGTGGGAGGCACTCGGGGTGACTGGTTCCCCACAGAAACGGTCACTGCCCGTGGGCCCCAGGCAGCCTGTGGGCCCCCAGGAGACTTGCCCGCCCCCACCGTTAGCCACTCTGCTCCTCCGCTGGTCTTCCAGACACCCTGCTTCCCCGGCCCCTGCAGGCTGGGTGCCCACTTACCAGGGCCGTCGATGGCAGAAGGTGGCACAGGCGGGGTCCCCGCCACTGGAGCATTCGCAGCGCTTTGGCAGGGAGCGGCGCCGGCGTCTTGGCGGGTTTCCCAGGCCGTAAGGAGCTGTCTGTCTGTGGGCAGGCAGCCAGCAAGGTAGTGGTGTAGGGTGGAGGGAGAGGAGGGGAGAGGGAGAGGGAGAGAGGATTAGATAAACTACGACCACTGGCAAGCAGACACTGTCCACGGCGCACGCTGGAATGGCCACCCATGCCGCCAGGGTGGAAGCAAAGGGTTACTAGCCCCTGACCTCCAGAAGCCCCAGCACAGGCTCCTCCCTGGGTGCCAGGTGGTCCTGCACAAGGGCCCTCCCCCTTCTGGGCCTCTGCTTGCTCCCACACCCCCGGCCCCCGCTCTGTCAGACTCCCAGAGTGGAGAAGGAGGGGGCGGACCCGTGCTCCCTCCCTAAGTCAGGAAGTGGGGAGTCCTCCCAGCTCCTCCCCTCCCTCCCAGACAGGAACTTGAGCTGATGGACAGAGCCAGGCTGGTCCCCCTGGAGGAGGGGAGGAAATGCCATCTCACAGAAGTAAACATACAGGCTCCCGGCTAAGCTGCCCTCACCTGGTCACCCCTTGCCTGGAGGGGTGATAAATGTGTCTTGGAGCTTTGACTTAAAAAATGGTGTGTGCAAGTGCCTGTGTGTGTGTGCGCGCGCGCGTGTGTGAGATCAGGTGGGATTGATTTCAGACTCAAAATCTGGCCAAGGCAGGCTGGGGGCCGGGCAGGGGCCTGTGGCCGGTTAGACCAGCACCTTCGGGTGCCAGAGCTAATTTTAGACAATGTGGTTGAAGTTGTAATGACTCCAGGTAGACCCAGCACGCAGGGACTGGCAGGGTTCCCGCCCTGAGCGAGTGTTTGGATGCGGATTAGCTCCACACACGCTTACGTGCAGGGCTTCTCTTGCCTTTTGCAATTTGGGGAAGGGAGGAAAAAAAAAACACACACAAACACAGAGAAACTTCAACTTGAAGTATGCAGTGGCCCGGAGGCAGTGCGGGTGCAGACAGAACCGACGGCACTGGGCTCCCACCCTCACCCTGCCAGGTGACACGGGGCAGGCTTCTCATCTTGTCACTGGGGACGACAGCGGTGCCTGGCTCGTGGGGAGGATGGGGGATGCGTGAGCCGATAACCTGCAAGCAGGGCTTGGCGTAGAGCCTGGCACAGTCAAGACATGGGTGCTGTCATTAATCGTATTATTCTTGGAAGATCATGCAGAGGCAGCATGGAGAGTGGGTGTGAGCTCTGGCATCCAGGGGCCTGGGATGAAGCCTCCACCTACTGCTCGCTTACTCCTTCCTGTGCGATCCTGGGGGACGCCCCCAGCCTCTCCCGGCCTCAGTACCCTGATCTGGAAAATGGGGCCGACACCAGGCTGTCGTGAGAGTTCTCAGGAGCCGGCCCGGGGTTACCGAGGCAGCCCCCACGTGGGAGTAGGGACAACACCCAGCCGCTCTTCATATCAGCTCAGCGATCCCGACTGGAGGGCCAGGGAGAGCTGTGCTAGCTACAGGTTCCCCACCCCCTGCCCCGCCTCTAGCAGCCCGCCTGGGTCCCCGCGGGAGCTCACCCCGGAGTGTTCACCCAGATGATGTCCAGGTGGCAGAAGTAGACGCACTCCTTGTCGAGCCAGGAGCTGCAGGAGCAACGCCGAGGCCGCAGGTGGGAGCCTCGGGCCCGGGCTGAGGGTGCTGGATGCTCCGGGGCAGCGGCCACCTGGCCCTTGCCTGCGTGCGCAAAGGGGGACAGAGGCGGAGAGGTGGGTCGGGGTGCCTGGCACCGCAGGCAGAGGGGGACCCGCGGGGCTCCTCCTCTTGCATAATCGAGGAAGTTGGCATCGTTCCGGCCCCCGAGCTCCGGGCCAGCCTGGGGAAGCCCCAGCAGCCGCGCGGGGAAGGGCCTCCGGACCTGCAGAGCTCCTCGCAGCCGCCCCCGCTGCGGGCGCCCCCCCAGCAGCCCCCCGGCGGACCTGCGAGGACCGAGCCCTGGGGAGGGAGACCCCCCCAAGCAGACCTGGGGGTGGGGAGCCGCTGTAGCAGGTGAGGCTAGGGCAGCTCACCTTCGTGCAGAGCCAGGAGCAGGGCCAGCGCCACGGAGCACCAGGCAGAGGGCAGGGCGACCATAGCGGCGGGGCCAGGGCTGGGCCGAGGACGGAGCGGGCCTGTTTGCCGGCGTCCTGCTGCCAAGCCGAGCCCACAGCTCACTGCCTCAGTGCCCTGGCCGCTTCTTATAACCCCAGCCGCGGCCCCGCCCCTGCCCGCCGGCCCTGCCCGCCAGGACGCCGCCTCCTCCCGGGGTGCCGCCCGCCCCAGCCTCCCCGTGGCGGGGACAGGGGAGGGTGGAGGCGGGAGGGGAGGCCCCGCTCCGCCCTCTGTGCCTGGAGCACCTCCTGGAGTACCGGAGCTCCCCTGCGGCCCCGGGGGCCCCTCCCAGCTCTGCTGGCCTTCCTCCAGTCATCCCCAGGGCGCCCCGTCCCCCTTCCCCACTCTCCGTGTGCACGGCTGCTCCACGGGGCGTGCCCGGGGCTAAGAGTGGGAAGAGGGGGATCCATGAGCAAAACCCTTCCTTTCCTTGGGGGGACACCTGGTCATCCCGCCTGCCCACTGCCACCCAGGCTGAGGACGCCCCTTCTCTGCTGTGTGGGAGGGGAATGGGGGTGCTCAAGGCTGTGTGGCTTGGGCAAATCAGAGCCGTCTCTGGGCCTGCCTCCCTCCGTGAAGGACACAGCTCACCCCTGACCTCGGACGGGCCTGGAGTTGCCCCCATCCCCAGGGCGTTGGGACAGGAGCTCTGGTCCCTTCCAGAACCTATGGCCTTCGTGGGAACCACACAAAGCACCGCTCGAAAGGTCTCCCGCCTTGGACGTGACAGGGTGCTTGGCTCACCTGCAGCCACTGTCTTCAGGAAAGGCGAGGCAATGTTGGGGGGGGGTGCACCCCGGGGGCCGGCATTCTTCTCCTGCCTCCTGCCAGCTCAGAAGCCGGGCTTTTCTGGGCACAGTGTGGGGTTGCACCGGTGCTGAGCTAAGCAGCCTGCACAACCGGCAGTCGCCCTCTGTTCCTGCCCAGGCCTGGATCAGAGTCCACCTCCCACGACGTCTTCGGGGACCCTGTCTCCGGGTACACCTGGAAAGCCCTCTCATTTCTTGGAACTCCCAGAGCCTGGCTCTCCAGCCTGCCTGACTCATGACGCCGGGCTTATCTCCCCTGCAATCTCGAGGCCCAGAACTCCAGAGAGCGCCAGGCCTGGAGCCTGCCCCGCACACAGTAGGCGCCCTCTGAGTGCACGCTCGCAGAGGGAGGAGGGACTGCATGAACACACGCCTGGCTCTGAACTGTGGAGATCAGGTCCCCCAGGAACCTGGCTGTTCAACTGTCAGCTCCTGTGTTCAGCAGCGATTTTGTCATCGGACGTTTCCCAAGGGGGAAACATGACCACGGAGACGGGCAAGCTTGCTCCTTCCTAGGGCGTGACTAGAGCGTGCATGTGTGTGTGTGTGCATGTGAGCATGTGCGTGTGCGTGTGTGCCATCCCGGGACAGAAGGGCAGCCTTCTCTTCCTTCCCCGGGGCTGGGTCGGGCTGCAGTGGAAGCAGGAACAAACACGTCTGAGCACCTACTGTGTGCTCAGAGCATTTTCAGCCGCTCTGTCGTGGTCCTGGGATGCAAGGCAGCTGTCACAGTACGGGGATTGGCACCACTACTGCCTGGGACGCTCAGAGAGGAGCCTGGCCTGGCCAAGGTCACACAGCTGTTAGATGCCCCCGAGCTGGCACTGGGACTCGGATCTCCGTCCCTCCTGCAAAAAAACAAAACAAAACAAAAAACCCAAAAACCAAAAAACCCAGACTCCCCACGTAGTGCTCACTGCCCTCCCCCGAGAGGCACCTCTCTAAGAATTTAGAAGAGTATTTCTGGAATGAGGTGAGCAATACCCCTAGTCATTTCTATTAGCCTCGCAGAGAATATAAATACGGAATGAAGCAGGGTCAGGGTGGGGGAAGGGGCGGAGAGAGAATTCAAACTACTGAACCATGAAGAGAAGAGAGAAGAACAAGCAGGTCAGCCGGGAGCAGGAGGGGGTCCGGGTGGGGAGGAACCCAAACAGGGAGGCAGATAAAGACAGGTAGGGAGAGAGGGAGGACAAGGAAGCAGAGCCCAGCGCCAGAGAAAGAACTCGGATTTGAGAAAGTAAAAGAGAAAGACCATTTGGAAGGAGAGCGAAGGTTCTACTGCGTCTAATCTTTACACAAATGCAAAGTGCTGCTGAGGACAATAGGGAACCAGAGGCTCTGAGTCTGGGAAACATAATAGAAGAATTAAACAGACCAGGAGACAGGATCCCTCTCTGGTGTGAAAAGAGGATGACGACAGGGCAGGGGCCGCTGCCCGGGCCCCGCAGGGTCAGTGTGGGGAGCCGTGCCCGGCTCCAGTGTCCCTCCTTCCCCGCGCGCCACAAACAGGGCTCCTGTGAAATGGAGAGGCCTGGGCCCGGAACCTGAGCGAGCCCAGGTCCTAGGGGGTGAGAGCCTTCCCGGAACACGGCTACCCCACTGGCAACAGTTGGTTTCCAGGTAGAGAAAATTAAGCTGATTTAAAAAAAAAAAAAAGCCAGCCCCGGCCCCACAGCTCCCCAGCCGGGCCCTGACCGGCTGCCCCTCCTGGCTGGCCTGGCGACATGGCCCCGACCCTACTGTTCTGGCTCCCATCGAAGGCCCCCGCCAGCTGCCCCAACCCGACCTGGCCCTGTTACCAGCCTGGGCTGCTAAAGGCTGCAGGGATTCATCGAAATAGCCCCCCACTGTCGGGATGTGGAGGGAGTTGTTTGGCACACATGATGTGCTCCACTCACGGTTGGCCCCGGCCCGACCCAAGGAGAGGTTTGTGGGGAGGGCAGGTTGGCCGAAGAGTGAGGTTGAGGCATATTCTGGGTGGGACATGGCACCAGAAACTGCCCTCCAGAGGCTGCCCTCCAGCCTCTGCTCCCATTTGCCGGATGGGATAACCAAGGTCCAAGAGGAGGAGCAACTTGCTCAAGACGGTGATGGGGCCAGACATGTCCTCTTGGCTATTGATCCAGCCCCACTCTTTCCAGTACACCCAGGAAGCGGCCAGGGGTCCAAGGTGAGCCCCTGGGTCTGTGTGGGAAGGGCCACCAGGAAAGACCCGGTGGCAGGAAGGCCAGGGCACTGGCACGGGGCTGGGCCGTCTTCCCTGCTCCCTCTCCACCCTCTGCACCAAGAGTAAATATCTTAGGCCGTCCAGCAGCCGAAGCCGCAGTGTGGGACTGAGAGCGCACAGCAGGGATGATTAAATGTCCAACCCGGCAGCCAGGGGCGGGAGCAGCGGCCTGGTCTGGTTGCAGGACCAACCAGCTCCGGCCCAGCTCGGCTGTGCACACTGTGTGGCCTTGGACAAGTCCTGCCCCTTCCCCGGCTTCCCCGAAAAGCTCGTGAGCTTTCGCACTGACGGAGCGGGGTGCTCTCGGCTCTGACGGCCTATGGCATTCCGAACCAACCTGACCAGAGTTTAGAGCTCCCCGGGCAGCCCTGCAACCTCTTGCTCTCAGCCTGGGACCTTCTGCAACCTCACTTCTGGAAAACCGGTTGCTTCCCTGTTGCCGCCACCCTGGCCCCGCTAGGTTTCAGAAAGTTCTGTTTGCAGCCCCAGTGGAAGGGACACAGCGTCTTGGGTGCAAGCACATACCGTGCAGGCGGCTTAGCGGAGCGAGCAGCTGGGAAGATGGGGCTGGCCAGGGGGTGATGTCTGGAGTCTGCAGGGCATGAGGGGTTGGGGAGGGTTTGGCCCTGGAGCCAGTCCGGGCTGGGGATTTAGGGACTGAGGAGGTTCAGACATTCCCATCATCATCTGTCCCCAAGGCTGCAGGTCGGGGCTGCCCCCGTCCAGGCCTGGGGCCACTCAGCCTCATGGCCTCTTTCTGGTGGGTGGTCTGGGCCTCCTGCCATCAGCCACAGCTCACCCTGAGCCAGCAGGGCCTGCCACCACCCACACCATCGTCCCCACGCTGGGTCTCCGCAAGGGCAGGCTCAGCGCTGCAGGACCAGCTCCCCCGGTGTCCATGGCTTCCCTGGGAGGACAACCCATTGCCAGTTCTCCTCCTCCCTCTGCCTCAGCCCATTTGGAGAGATTTATATCTCCCATATAAACTGTGCTTTTAAAGGAATAATTCATGTGCCCTGCTTGTTATTAATCAGGCCAGGGTCAGCGAGGCCCACGGAACTGCTGGAATTTCAGCCGAAAGTATATTTTGTTCAGTCAAGGCACCCTTGTCGAGAGGCTGTGTAAGTCCTGCTGGACTTGCCAAAATAAGGAAACCAACTCAGGACTCAGCAGCATCCAGGATGGAAATCTCTGGATGCAAAGCTTTTGAGTTACCTCCCAAGTGCTAAGGGCCCAGCCCCCCCGACCCCCGCAGCCTTTCAGGTGTGGGGCAAACACACACGTACTGAATATGTAATGTATTCTTAGCATCGTGCTAACCGATTCACAGGCCTCAGCTCCGTTAACGGACACGATATACCTAAGAGGTGGGACTGTAATTAGTCCCTATTTGAGGAAATCGTATAAAAGCCTCACTACTGGCCCAATGTCTGACGGCTGGCAAGTGGCAGAGCCAAGATTACAGAGTGGGGCTGTGTGACTTCCAAGCCCTAACCCTGAACTCTGTGTGCCCTCGGTGCACTTTCCTGGCTCTGCAGCCCACAGGGGGCTCTCCCTCAGCAACTCTCCTCCAGGGGTTGTCCTCCCTGATGAGGCAGGGAACCCTACGCAGGCTGGGAGAGTGGGGTCCCTGAGAGCCGAAGGAGCCTCCCACCTGTGTCCACTGTGGGGGGGGGCTCACCCCATAGTAAAAACACAGCACCCAGCCCATGTGTACAAGGTCGGTGTCCGAGGCCTCGTCACAGCTGTTAGGTAGACACGGACGGTCCATTCTTATTTCACAGGATACCCACAATAGACCCAGGAGGCAAGCTCGGCTCGTAATTCTCACTTTACAGATGAGGTCTTTCCAGATAAGATTCTCATTTTATAGATAAGTGAATAACTTACTCAGGGTCACACACTGAATAAAAGGCAAGGTTGGAGCTTTGGCTCAACAACCTATAACATGTATATCCAATGCTCCTTTCACCCATCCATCCACTCATCCATCCATCCACTCACCC